CTACAGCTCTACAGCTCTACAGCTCAACAGCCCCCCTCTCCGCTCTCTGCTGTGATTTTGGCCCGCTCGTGTTGTCAATTGACGGCCATGACAATTTCGGGCCTCTGATTCGATGCGCGGAAGTGATTTCCCCCACAAAAAAGTAGAATCGAATTTTCCAAAGGGAATCTCTAGGGTTTCCCCGCCGGAAGTGCAATACTCACCTATGAACACTCAGAGAAAAATGTCTATGAATCAGGATCGTAAATATAGCTCTGGGAAATACGAAGCACTCTCCTTTAATATCTTAAGTTACTATGAAAACCCAGCTACTTAAGTCTTAAGTTAACTTTGAAGAAATCTTATGTTATACTCGTAGAGTTACTTTCCAGAGTACTTTCTACCCAGAAGTCTTTCGTTTTCCTTTAGAAGGGTTACTTAGAAGTCGTATTAATCATATATTAAATTAGTTCTTAAGGCATGTGTAATTTCTCGCAGTGTAAACATCTTCCCTACCCCACCTCAATCTGATTGATTTTAGAGGTTTTGTCCTCTGGTCAGTTGGGCTGGCGTGATCGTGTCTCTGGCTTCTGCTCTATTGATTCGGGGTAATTTGCTGCCTTGTTGCCAAATATGTTATGTAAGGGGATGGCTTTTAACAAGAAGGCGTTGCCCAGGCAGGACAAAAGTCAAAAAAGGATCTTCAAGATCCGAAAGTACTGGGAAAATACAGCTGGGTGTATGTTTGGTTTGGCTTCGGGTTGATCGGCCTGCTATCGGCTTGCTATTCGGATGGTTTTTCATCTTTTGGGGTAGCTCGTGATCCCTAATGATCGAAAGTAGGAGATTTGCATTCAGAAGTCAATCCCAAGTCGATTTCTCTCGCTGTCTTTGCTTGCAAGAGCAATCCATCATGGCTTAAGTCAGCTTAGGAGGAGTCGGGGTATCCTTATGCTTGTCTATGAGCCAGGGATAGGTTTGATCGGGAATTTGTAAGCATTTAATAGATATAGATAATCAGATATAAGTTAAGTCTCTTGAAAATAACTTAAAACTTCGATAAATCATTGGAATCTTAGTCTTGGAAAGCTAATTTCTATTTCCCTTTCAGACTTCCGTAACGTGTGGAGAGGTTGGATCATTCACCAGCTCATTGACTAATAAAAAAGGATGAGAGGCACGGATGCGTCGCCCCATTGTATCTGTATCTGCATCTGTGTTCGTATCTGTATCTTTGTGCAGCTGTGAGGATCGGTGAGTAGCGCCCCGTAACTTGACAAATGGGTTTTCCGACCGCCTGTCCTGGTCTTTCCAAGTCGTTTTTTGTGCCCTGCATCCCACTGTGCCGGTCAGTTGGTCAACTGGGTTCAGTGCGGCCAACTTCCTCTGCACACTTCCTACTTCCTTCACAGCTGGGGCCCTAGGACGACCAGTCGGCCGATTCATTCGCAATTTATTTCAAATGGCCAGGCGATTCCCGCTTTAAATGTATGAATGAATGCATGAATGGCCCAGCGTGCGAAATGGCCATTTCACCGCTTTGTTCGGCTTTGTTTTGTTTCCTAATTTCATTTTTTCTAACATCTACTTGCCCATTTGTGGTGGTCATTGTAGGATCCCATCTATTACTATCTATTACTGTCCCAGTTGAAAGGCAATCAGTGGAGGAGGAATACCTTGGTAGTTAATTGCTAAGTTGGACTTAGTAGCTAACTGAGATGTATTTAATAGATATTTAAAGTTACAAAATACTCGTAATATGAAGTATATTAACACAGCCAGGTATGTGTAGCAGCCATCTGGGCTGTAGCGTGCCCAGCTAGTGTGCCAAAAACAACTTGAGACCCCCGATCCGCCCCAGCACTCTTGGCCGTGACACTTCAGGCAATCACATGCTTCATTATAGGCCCATCACAGTCCGGACTTCGGAATGGGCTTACGGCTGTCGTGGATGCAAATTTCATTGTGTTATTTTCGCATCCAAATGGCCTAAAGCCCATATAGCACATGGCATGCCATGCCGTTGACAAAACTGGCTGACAAACTGGCATTAAATGTCACAAAGTCACGCGTCCCCCGGACGGATGCAACGGCAATGGCGACGGCAACGGGAACTGCAACACAATTGTGAAATGTATCAATTTCTAGCCGTTGTTTTCTCGTTCTCGTTCTCAGCCTTAGCTTTCCCTGACAATGGGGCTGACGTGCTGCAGGACTCCCACATTTATTACATTTCCAACTCCTTGCAGCACTCTAGGCAGCACCTCCTCATCCCCGCTGCATTGGCAAGTGGCCGTCGCTTTGACAGCGCCGTTTAAGCGGAAAAAGGTGAAAAACTTTCCTTTTATTTGGCGGGTGACAGTTTCCTGAGCGAAGACATGGAGGCAGACAAGCCAGGGTGCCCAGGCTAAGCCAGGTAACAAATAATTTATTAACTTATTTAAGTTATTAATATAGTTTACTGTGTGCCCTACAGATGTGGACTTCAAGGATCGATTAGCATCTTCATTATTGGTAAGTGAAAGCCAGTTAATAATATAATTACTCATCATGGAAGAAATGCAAACTTGACTTTTTTAAGATTAAGATTTAGTCCCTTAAGTTTTTAATATCCACATTTTATTAGCAACTCAAACATTTTTAAACATTTTTTGATGGTCTGACAACCCTGTTGCCCGGCCAGGACTTGACATTAATATTTGAGGAACACAAATCGAAAAAAATGCAGAAAAAACATAAACACAAATTATCGCAAAGTGAGGGTCGCAAATTGAAGGCATTTGAAGGAATCCCCTCGGGCATAGGCGACTCTTCATTGCCCTACAAGTTAAGAAATGGCGATTTCACTCTAAGTTGTAAATATCTGATGGGTTAGCTTTATATTATATTAATACCCTGCCTATCAGGCACTAAGTTCATGCTGCGGCAGGGCACTTGCAAGTCGGATATGTCCCGCACGATTTGCTTGCATTTTTTCCTGTGGGTTCGGGCTTTGTTTACTTCCTGGCTCATCGGTCGTCGCCGTCGTCGCGGACATGTGCACACATTCCCAGGGAGTTGAAGCTTTCCACTTTTTTTTGATGGTTATGCTCTTCTTTTTTTACCTTTTTTTTCTTGTTTTTTTTTAGATGGGCGATGTAGGTTTGTGTTTTTGTAGTCTTGAGTACGTTCAACTTAAGTGACTTGCGTTGGGGACGCCGCTGCGTTCAAATGAAATTATTTTTTCGAACTTCATATTTCAGGGAGACAAGTGTAGCGTGTCCGCGTTCCTTCGAACGAGTCCTTCGAGTTTCGCCCGTTCGGGGAAAGGGGTTAGGGCAGGCGGAAGGAAATCCCAACCTGCCATATGGAGCAACAACTGGTGCTGTTGGTGCTGCGGGGAAATTCCGAAATTGAAATCGGGACAAAGCACTGGCGAGGATCCGGCGATCCATCCATCAATGAACTCTGAGCAGTGGCTTGGGCAGGGGCAGGGGCTGGGCACCGATCCTCACACATGACATAAAGCACAAATAAATGGAATTGGTTTTATTTGGCAAACAGCATTATCCCGGATTATCCGAGGGTTCGATGCAACGATTATGGACAAACCCAATTAAACCCAAATTTTGCCTGTCGCAGTCGCAGTCGCAGTCGGTCGCCTCGCCTGTTTGTGTGTGATTTTCCAGGCGATTTCACTAAACATGTGTTTTGGTTTTTCAAAAACCCCGCCGCCGTCGGAAAAAGGTGACAAAGTGGAAATAATGCGCATTGTTGCTCTTGGGTCTTGGTTGGTCTTTGGTTGTCGGCTGGTCTGCTATATATGCCAGATCCTGTATGGCATACTCGTATATAGTAGTACTGTTATTCCGACACCTTTCTGCCTCGGCTTACCAACCGATCGATCGACCGACCAGTCAGTCAGTCCGCCGGTGGATGAATATGAATCCCCAGCCCCAGGCCATTCACAATGCCGTAACATTGGCTTAGGAGTGTGCGAAAATCAGGGACTTAGCCCGAACGGACCTCGTTTCGATCCGGTTCGGTAGCCAATACAATTTCATTATGTTATGCCATTAATGTTAATGCGACGTGGCTTGATCCTGGCTGGCTTGCCTGGCCTTCCATTCTCCTCCTGGCCGGTGCTCGGTCCTTAGCCCGGCCTGTGTTTTCTTAGCTGATTTAAAATCAAATTGTTTTTAATTGCCTCATCGATTTCCAGGAAATATTGTGACACCTCCTTGCAGGTGCCTGGGTGCGCATAAGTACCTGCAATCCTCCGATGAATGATCAATGGAGAGCGGGCCACATGTTTATCCTTCGGGAAACTAATGCCCAAATATCGCTGCTTTCGCATTCCCTTCGGGTGGGTATATATCTTCCTTCCACGAGATATAGAAACTTAAACGGGTGAATAAATCACAATAGATTCGAGTTTATTATGGCTGGCATTGGCTTGTATTTGCAATCTCATGCTACCATTCAACTCTGACGATTGTCAATGAAAGATTGCGGGCTCTGATCGACAGATTCATAACTTGACCATGTACTTGAAGTCCCAAAAAAAAAAGACTATGATCAATTGGCTGATAAGGGGTTAATGAATGAATGCTCCTCGAGTGATCTCAGGAGGGTGGAAAATTTAATGCTTGTTAAATGTTGTCTCTAGAGGGCCACTCCTAATAAAATTCCACTAATAGCCAAGCTTTTTGGGAAGTATATAAGTTTCTTGGTGATTCAGAAGGAGGTACTAAACGAGCTCTTCTTTACACTAAGAAGTGGCCAGAATCTTCTTCAAATTCTTAGCAATTAGCGGATGGATTCCCTAGATAGGCTTTTCTTTCAAGCCCTTCTTCCCCCTTCGCAATATTATTCTGACAGCTAAGTGACTTTGCCCATTTGCCGACGGCTGATGGCTGATTTTCCGATTTCTGATTCCTGATTTCTCAGTTTTCAGTTCTCAGTTCTTAGTACCCAGGTCGGAGTCCGGAGTTCTGAACTCCGAGTTCCGAATCCGGGCCGTGACTTCGGGCTGTACTTACTCGTAGACATGCTTGTTGTACTCGTAATCCGGCTGCATGCAATAATCCTGTTGGTACACGTTGTTCGTGTAGTAGCCGCAATCCTCGAAGTAACCGCAATTCGGATTATAATTGCTCATAATTAAGGCTCTCGCGTGCGCAAAATCTGAACCGTCGGGAAAGTCGTGCAAAATGGCGGAAAATCGCGGCAACCGAAACGGAACAGAAAAAAAATGTTACTACAAATTGGTCGCAGGGGGTGGGTGCTGGGTGCTGGGCTGTGGGTTGTCGGTTGTTTGGACTTGGATTGCGGGTGGTTCACATTTATTGAATTATTTAATGAACTACTTGTCGGCGAATTATTTGCACTCGAATGGGTTTTTAATCCGCGATCACTTTTTAATTGATGTGGGTGAGTACACTGCCTACGGGACGGCAATTAGGCGGCGATTCGGGATATTACTAGTCAACTGCACTCGATCGAGAGCTACATTTTACGATATATGCACATGGGAGATATAGAACTCGGATCGGATCTGGGCCTGGGTCTGGGAGTTGTGGCAGGCGTAGCGCGCGCTTTTTGACTGCCGTTGGCCGATTTCAATAAGCCATAAAAACGTCGACGGCTAAAAAATAACAATCTGTCCGCGGAAAGAGAGCGTTTGTCCGTTGGTGGTGGCCCTATCTCGCTTGCTCCTCAGGCACTCTAATAGCCACTAGCATTCAGGCTCTCTCGCTCTGGCAGCCCCGATATCGCTGCGATCGAGTGGTTTTAGCGACTCCACGTCGAAAGGTGCCAACTGGCGTTGGCGTACTGCCAACGGAGTAAACGGGGAGACCTGGACTGGCTGGACCCACCGCCGTCAGAAGCCCTCGGCAGCCGATGATCCGTGTGAGGCGAGAATCGAATCGGATCGGATTGGATTGGATCAGAAGAGCCGGAGTATCGGTGATTTGGAGTGGCGCAACGAGGGACACTTTAAGCGGTACAACAATCACTTATTAAAGTCAAATAGGTATTAAACAAAACACACGCAGTGCACAGGAGAGTGTCGAAGGCAGCCGAGTTGAACAAATATCAATAAGTGTACACAAGAGTATCGATAAAGGTGTCCGCTGCAGTTATCGCTGCCCCCTGTCTCTATACACATATGTATTCCCCACTCACACATGCACTTCGCTGGCCCACAGAGATATATTCCAGCCGGGAGATACTCGCAACGCCCCAAATCGGGCTTTTCGCTTATATTTGTTCTTCTGCCCCTCATTTGTACTGGCTCTGAACCGATTTGTGGCTGCTTCTGCAGTGCACAGTGGGACCAAGTCGTTCAAAAGTGCACAGGTATTTTGATAGGTAAGATGAATGTGCAACAAATCTTGTCAAGGAATCATTTCTGAGAGAATCACCCTAGGCTGTGCTTGAAGATACTCCTGTCTGTCCGTTAGATCTGTCCGTATAGAGTATATCCAACTGTCCGTTAGGGTCAGACCCCACTAGGTAGGCCGTCGAACGACGAAGACACCGCGGAACCGGCGAACCAATCCATCAGCGAATGCTAGTGAATAAATTTGTCGAGTGGTCGCCGATAAATATCTTAATGGGCCCGCGTAAGACTGCCACTTGATGAGGTTTCGTTGGAGGCTAGAAGATACAGGCCAGAGGCTAGAAGCTAGAGAATAGAGAGCTACCAGGTTGTAACTCCCTGATCGGGTTCAAGCCGCGTCATAAAATAATAATAATGATAATAGGGCCCTAGCGATATTATTATTACCACCGGTGATTATGTGGCGCGTATGTTTATTGACAAACAATATCGGTGCCCGATCGGGAGTTGTTAAGCCCATAAAACTCCCGTTTGGCTCCGCATTCTGTTTTATTTTCGTTTTGTTTTTGTTTGCACACGGGTCGAGAAGAGATATCAGAGTTGGTGATATGGTGGCTACCACCATGATAGTGCCGTGGAGGCAGGGGGGCCTGGGGGGGCACAACAACCGGGAAACAACCTACATAAGGTGTGAAAAGCCATTCATTACATCTCCGATATGCTGGCTAATCAGCCCGATTTGAATGTGGACTGTTGGGCCTGTGTCGATGTTGTAGCAACTCGCTGGGCTTCCTTTCGGTTTCGATTCTTATCAGATGGGAGAGCGGGCTACCGTTTGCACCGCCTTATCAGGGGCCAGCACCACCACTAGCACAACCTACCACTAGCAACCAGCACCACCCAGGTGGGGCGGACTGCTGTCGCTCGTCACTCTATTCGTCCCTGTCGCACCCACTCGGTGGTTGGGCCGCGAGCATTTTGTTTATGCCCTTATCTCGCACCTCGGAGCCCCATCGACCGCCCCTAATTTCCCCAGCAATCCAGCGATCTCCGGAGCTCCAGCAGTTATCAGTGTCCCCCCAGAGCTGACATCTTGTCACTCTGCCGGGCCAGACACAATGACAACCGTAATGGGATTGCTTCTGGAGATCTCGGAACGATATGAACCATTTGGAGATTACTTCCTAAGAGCCATTCATTTAGAATTGACTTGGTGGGGGCTTCGTCGAGTGATCTTTTAACTAGCCAGAGTGAAGCTATGACCATTATCAAGAGAGATTCTTGACTTGAAATTACTGTTTCCCAGTTTGCTTCACAGTTTGCAGGGCATAGCTAGGCGATAAGCAAGGCCCAAGTAATTGTGTTACCAAATCAGAAATGTAAAGAGGCGATTTCCACCTCTCTGGCCAGAGATTACCCAATGCGTCCTTGGGTGATCCACAGGCCCCAGTGCAAAACAGGGAAATTAGAGTACAGCTTGCGGAACGGACTGGTCAAGCCCTCGGCTTTCACCCCCCCACTGAAGTACCGCCAGCTGAAGAAAAACCCGCATGCTCTCGAGTTCCCAATACCCTCAAGTGCATTTCAAAGTTGTCTGCCCCTCTATCTGGGCTCTACCTCTATCTACTTGGGTGTAACATTGTTCCGATAGAGGAACTGCACGACCGCCAAGTGTGTTGTTTGTCATTTGTCATGTAGCGGACAAGCGGACAAACAGACGAACGGACAACGGACAAGGGACTAGGGACAGTGGCCACTTGTGTGCGGTGCACTCTTGAGAATACAGAATGCACTTTGGAAAGTTTCACAACGAAGGCAAGGCGAAAACAAAGCTCCTCCTGGAGCACTCGAGCTATTCCAAACAGATCACTATCTCTATCTCTATCCGTCTTGTCCGACTGTCCGACTGTCCCTCTGTCCGTGCTCCACATTCATGGAATTGGACATCGATCAAACGGGCTGCTCCACTAAAAGCATGCCACAAGACCAAAGCAAACGCAAACCCCATGGAAAGGCAAAAGGCAAAAGGCAAAGCCAGAAGCTGAAGCAGCTCAGCAGCTCCCGCCCATATATCAAAATGTACGTCAATTTTCGTGCTCCGGACACTTGATAGACTGAAGTGCTTTACATTGATTTCACGTATACCTTTTCAAGTGATTTATTGTAAAGGCTTGTTGGCGCACTCGAAGTTGAAACTCATAATGAGCCCGCACACATGTATGCCCCTTGTAATGCGGCCCATTCCCCGCTTAGAAGTCCAACTTATTGAGTGCTTCGCTGTCTTCGCTCTGCCTAGCTGACTATATATCTATATATCTATGGGTCTATATCTGACTGTTCTTGGCCTGGCTGACCAGCTAGACTCTGTGGCACAGGGCTTTGGATATCTTCGAGTGGATCTGGGGGCTTACCAGCAGAGAGGGTTCTTGGGATTAGTAGTGTTACTTATAGCAGTGAGTGTGTAGGATGAGGAACTCTGATTTGGGGTACTTACTTGGGGTAGAAACCTACAAGAGGAAACCCATTAACATTCTACTTCGCCTACTTCTGCCTGAACTGACCCCGTATCATCGACGATAATCCGAAGTAAAGGCAGGGAAATTGATTGGGTTATCGGTGAAGTATATATACGACCGATCGCCTCGAATAAATCAAAATTATCTGGGGAACTATATGGAGCTTGGAGAAGAACAAAAAATGGAGTTGACTCACGCCGATGGTTGTTTGTTTTTCTGTTATTTTATTTTATTTATGCAAAATATTTCGAAAAAGAACACAAAAATTCAAAATCAAATTATATGATTATACATTGAAAATTGTTTTTGGTTTTTGTTTTCTTTGTTGTTCTTGTTGTTGTTGTTGTTGTTGTTTTGTTGTTTGTTTCCTTTGCATTCTTATGTTTTATGTTTGGTTTTCCATCATTGGGTTTTGGGTTTTGTGTGTGAAACATTATACAATTTTCCTGGCTTTTCCTGGGTCCCATGCGCCCCTGGGCTATATACCTATGCCAGGCATATCGATCCGGTTAGATCGGCGAGGGTCGAAGATAGCAGATCGCCAGGATCATCGCGGCCAGGACTGAATGCTGAAATCTTTTCCACATTAATAATAGTATATATAGCGTACAATTATTGTTGCAATTACAATTGTCTTTGGGTACATTTAATATTTAAATTTTCTTATACTTTTTCTTTTCTTTTCATTTCATTTCATTTCTTTTCTTTTCATTTCTTTTCTCCAACTGAGTTCGCTCCGCTCGGCCAAAAATCATAGTTCGACAAAAAGAATTACACAAATTTTTGCTCTTTTGCTGTTTGCTGTTTACTGTTTGCTGTCTGCTGCTGTTTCTTGCCCTCGTTACAATTTGCTTTTCACTGATTCTCCTTTTTGGTTTTCCTTATCAATTTGCCTTCAGTTTGTTTTGCTTTTCTTTCGGTTTTTCAATGATGAGACTACGACAAAAACACATGCGATTTCATTATAATTTTCATGTTGCTGCTTCCTCGATTTGTTGTTTTTTGTTTTTTGCTTTTCGTTTTCTTCCTTTTTGTTTGTTTGTTTGCTTTTTGTTTTGTTTTGCATTAAATCTTTGTGTAAATCTTTTTTGCTTTATGATATTCTTTACGTTTCCATTTATTTTATTTTATTCTTTTATTTAATTTTATTTATGCAGGACGGGGTTTATTTCTTACACATTTGCATCATTTTTGTTTTTTGTTTTTTTCCGCTTTTTTTGTGTTTTGGTTTTGTTTTTGTTTTTGTTTTTTGCTTCACTAAGTGTAAATATCAATTGTTTTTTTCTTTTTCTTTTTTGTTTTTTGTTTTTTTGTTTTTGTTTTTTGTTTTTCATTTTTTCATTTTTTGTTTTATATATATATGTATACTTTCATTTTTGTTTTGCTTTCTTGTTGTTCTTGTTGTATTAATGAATAAATTAAAAAATATTCAAGCTTTGACTAGTTAGATTTTCTTCTTATTTACTTTTGTGTAGTTGATTTGCCTTTTGTTTCTGTTTCTGTTTCTGTTGAAATATATATGTGTTTGTGTATATATATATATATATATTTATACATATACATATATATATAGATGTATATATATTGTTGTAATACATTAGCGTTATATAATGTGTCTGTGTCGGCTTGTGTTTGTGTTTGTGTTTGTGTTTGTGTTTCTGCCTGTGCGTGTGTCTGGGTGAAGGAGCCCCTGTGAGTTGCCTGTGAGAAGAACGAAGATAGCTGAGGGCTCTGATCACTCCTGAAATTGAATTTCATTTGAATACTATATTGAACTTAAAGTTAGTGTGAAACAAGAACCAAACTTGAACGTGAGCCTGTCAACGACAAACTCAAATTGAAACTGATCGCGAAACTATAAAAGACCTCAAGTTGAAGCTCAAACCAGCTGAAAGTGGATTTAAACACTGACAGAAATCAATCTCGAGACAAACGTTTCGATGTAAACAGAAATGAAGATGATATTCAAAAGATTAATGTCCAGAAACTGAATATGAAGTTGCAAACCCGAATGGCTTTGAGTTTCGAATGGAAAGTGATTTTGTTAAGGGCCTAACTTTGAGTTCCAAACCAATTTCATTTACCATTGAAAGGTTTCTTCCCACTTGGACCCACAATTGCATTTTCAGTTTCCATTTCTTAGGTGGCTTTTGAATTTTCACTCAGATTTCTGCTCAACTTACAGCACTTGTTTCGATTTTGATTTGAATTTGTGTTTAGTCCCAGCCTTCAGCTGTGTTTTCTGTGCTTTCAATGTGCTTTTCCATCACAGCAACTTCAAATTGACTTCAATTACAGCTTCAATTTCAGTTTCAATTCAAGCCCAGCTGCCAAATTTGAATTATGGGCTAATTTGAATCTTAAATCTCATTCAGAATCTCAATTTCCGATTTAATTTTCGAATTACTCAGTGCAACCGAGTTTTCAGTCTCCACCTTCAAGCTGTGGCTCTTGTTTCAACTTTAGTTCAATATCAGTTTCAATCTGAGATTCAATTTAAGTTATAGTCATTTTCTCAGCTATATTGGATTAACACCAGTTTCACTGTTTCATTAGTTTTAACCCATGATTGCTAGAATTTCATTTTCAGCTTCAATTTTAGCTTCAATCTGTAATCCTTCTCTGTATCCACAAAAATCTCCTTCAAACTCTCATTCAACTTGAAGGGAAACCGAACTAGGAAGGGCAATCGCTCGTCGGCCTCTCGGCGGGGCAGGCATTTCGATTATTTGGCTTGATTGAGTAACAGTATCTCGCTGCTCGAACAAAGCAGGCCAAATATTTGCCAAGCAATCGAGCCGAGAAATGAAACTAGCCGTTTCGAAACGGTTTATCTTTGGGCCTGGGCTCTTCGGAGCGTCCACTCTAGGTGGTGCCGGGTGGTGTCTCCGGTGCTCCGGTGCTTCGGTGCTCCGTCCCCGGATTTTGCGATACCGTCTCCGTTTGGGGGACCCGCTTATCAGATTCCGCCGGCATTTGGCTCTAAGGCAATTATGCAAACAGTTGCGAAGCTTTTGATGTGAAATGCAACGACTGCCCAGGGGCTCCTTTCCGTGTGTGAGTGAGATGGTAAGTGAGTGTGTGTGTGTGTGGGGGGGTGTGAGTGTGTTTTGTGCTGGCCTTTGAGTGAAACATGTAACGTAAAAAAGAGAAAAAACATTTTGGTTTTTGTTCTTTTTTTTTTGTTTTTTGGTTTTTTGCCACCGACTTACACACAAAATATGCAGAAAAAGTTCTAAAAGTTTTTCGCTTTTCGCTTTTCGTTTCATATTTTTGTTTTTCATACTTTTGGTTTCTGTCTGCAATTAGCTTAGCGTTTTGCATTGTTTCTGTTACGTAGCTGATTCATATATTAATCTCATAGCCCGCCAAGCATCGGAATTGTGGCCCTTAGCTGGCTGACCTACGACCTTTGGGTTGTGTGGCTCGTGTATAGATACATAAATACATTTATGGACATTTCTTCTTGCTTTGCTTTAAATATATTGTATATATATATATATATTTATATATATGTGTATATATAATTTGTTGGGTTTTGCATTTGCAGTTGCCTTTGTGTGTCTGTGTGTCTGTGTGTGTGTGTGGTAGTGTTCGGGTGTGTGGTTTTGAGAGAGAGTTATACATATACATAAGCGCATATGCACGTTCATATAGAGATTAGTACGCGTAGGTAGCTCTTAGGTTCACATGTGTCTCAATGTGTGTGTGTGTGTGTTTCTGTTTCTGTTTCTGTTTGTGTCTCTGCGTCCTGCTTTTTCTTCTTGCTCTCAGCGCGGCTCTAATAAATGGCTTAAGTTTTCCAGTAAGAATTGCGATCGGCTTGCAAGCATTTCAACGCCACGAAACGCTCAAAAGTATGCTACGAAGCAGCCATGAGTGCATGTGTGTGTGTGTGTATGTTAATCTGTAAGTATGAGTGTTCCTGAATCCATAAGGAAGTCAGTGTGGGAATGTATTTGTGTGTATGTGTGTGTGTTTTGACAATTTATTTACTAGGAATATCTTTTGTTTTGCTTTTCTTCTGCTCTCTTTTTATGCTCCTCTTGCCTGCTCATCCTTTCTCTTTTGCGTGTGTGTGTGGGTGTCTGGTGTGCGTGTGATCCTTGCCTTCTCGCCTTTCATTTCTCCTTCTTATTGTTTACTCCGAGCTACCTTGTGCACGGACTTTCGCTTGCCTCTTTGGCTATTAGTATTCTCCTCTCTTGATGGCGCCCAACAAGGACCACAAAGTGGGGATTGTGTGTGTGTGTGTGTGTGTGTGGTGTATGTGTGGGTGTCAGAAAGGGACAGAGTGGTTGAGTGAGACAGAGAGAAAGAGAGCTAGAAAGGATGTTTACTGCATTTTGTTAAACATTCAAATACTTAAATTTAATTGCTTGCTTTATATTCTTGCCTTTCTGCTTGCTTGCTTTAATTTAATATATAGATATATTACCATTCATTGAATTTTTCTTCCCTCTTCTTCTTCTTCTTTTTACTCTTCTTCTTCATCATCATCATCATCTTCTATCCCTCAATTCTCCTTATTGGAACTGCGCTCCTTTTGACGAAAAAAAAATCATGTCTCTTCCTGCCTCCGCTTTTAATATTATGCTTAAGTTTTTCCATTTTGAAATTGTGGTTGCTGCTGCTGCTGCTGTTGCTCCTGCCTCCTCTGTTGATGTGTGCCTCTCGCTCCCTCGCGTTCGCGTTCCCGCTCTCGCTCTAGCCAGCCGCGCCCCTCTTGCCGTCCCGCTTACTCTTTCACTTCGAAATATTTGTAGGTCGGGTTCTCGTACCCATTGATCTGCATGTTGGGCACGATCTTCTCCTCCAGCACGATGGGATGGTGTGTGGTCACGTTCTAGTCGCGGGATATCAAGAGGTTAGTAAGTTGCAACTTCTATTAAGCTAGCGGTGCATCAGCGCCACCCACCTGATCGACCTCGATGAAGCCCTGGGCGTGCGGCGAGCGCGATATCCGCCACTTGGCCACAGCCACGCCCACGAAGACGGCCGCCATGAGGGCGATGCCGGCGAAGGAGAGCGTGAAGTAGACGTTGCGGCCCTCCTTGGCCGCGTGCGCATGCTGCGTGAACTCGCGGCGCAGCGAGAAGCTCTGCAACGAAAGGGGAGAGAGAGAGAGGGGATAGGCTTTAGGCAAATGCGGTACGAGTTGACGCCGCAGCTCAAATACCGATTCGCGGTGGCCCAGGTCATGGGTCATGAAGTGCTGCACCTGCGGCTCGGCCTCCTGGTGAGCGACGGCAGCGGCCACATCCTCCACCGCCCGCTGGACGGCATCATCGTCGACCGTGGGCAGCACGGTCTGCACCTTGGTGCTGCTGCAAAATCAAACGCGTAATCGTTATTCCTCGTCCCAGGATTATAATAGATCCTCCGGATTGACCCACCTCACTGTTGCCTCGGCATACTCAGTATCTGATAGCTCCTTCTCGCTCTTGGTGGTGTCCAAGTTCAGATTGGCCGCTGTGACCAATCCGCCGTCGGGACCCAGCTCCTTGCTGCTCAGGCTCTTCTCCTGCTGCTGCTGTTGCGCTTGCGATTGGGTCGACGACTGTGGCGACTGGGATTGCTGCTCGGCGGCCTGCGACTTCAGCATGTCGTCCACCTTCTTGGCCTCAAGGCGCAGCTTCTCCTCACGCAGTTTCTCCCGCTCTGCGGCCCGCTGCTCCTTGCGCTGCTTCTCGGCAAGCCGAAGTCGCTCTTTCTCGGCCACCTTGCGCTCGATCTCGATGCGGTACTTGTCCAGGATGCCGGCCTCTGCCTCTTCACTCATGCCTAACGAGGAGCCGGGAATGTCGTCCTTGCTACGCAATGCCAGGATATAGTCGTTCATTAGCTGGGCAATCTTCGCCGATAGTTCCGGATAGCGCTTGAGCATGGTCATAGACTGGTTGACGGCACGATCGATGTCGATCAGCCGCTCCAGAGTGCGAGGTCGTTCCGAAGCAGCCGCTTCCAGGCCACCGGGTCCACCGGAGTTCAACAGGTGGCGGTAGTGAGCCAGAGCATGGGCACGGTCCTTGTGCAGGGCGCGCAGCAGCTTCTGCAGGCACTTCTCGACATGGTGAGCCTGGAGGAGATGATGGGCATTAGTATTGGTATCTTTTAGGGGATCTACTCACGTTTGGCGGCTGCTCGGTCAGGGCCTGGGTGTAGCATGTCATGGCCTCGCGCTTCCGCTGGTTGATGTGGGCCAGAACGCGCTGCTGGTGCATGGCGGCCAGCTGGTGCTTCTCGGCGTTGCCTTCTTCCTCGAGTGCCTGAACAGAAGTCTAAAATTACATTCCCATATAAAGACGTATTGCACACCAAGAGAGAAAGATTATCAGCATGGGGAATTTGCGTTGATCGATAACAATATGCAGCTGTCGATCGGTCGATCGGTCAATCGGTATTGTGGTTATTCTGATATCGTTTTGGAAGTTTTTGAAAAAATTTGCCTCGACTCGTACGTATGTGTATGTCTCGTGGAATGTTTGTGATTTGTGTGAGGGAACGCTTGGAGTTTGAGGGGTTTCTCGCAGTGCCGCTGCTGCCCCATGACGTGAGCGAGAACGAACGAGAGACAGAGAGAGAGATACAGAGTGCGAGCCACTGAAGCGGTGCGAAAATGGATTGGTTGGATTTGAGAAATGATCCTGTCCAGGGTTCGAATCGGGTCAGGTGTTATGGTATATGTTATATATACATGGATGCAGTTCATTCCTGGCAGTAGAAGGGCAGCGGTTCGGTTACGTAAGCAGCACATTCAGATCTATAATGCGAGCAGTAGACATCGACTTGGATATCAGAGGATGGGCTTCCGTTTGCGTTCGTTTAACTTAGTCAGAGAGAGAGAGAGATCGATTGGTATCGAAAGTAAGAAGGATGGGGGTGTGGTGGGCTTACGTGTAGTAGGTTGGGATTAGGCGGATATTAGTTAGTTGGTATGCCAATCTGTTAAACTACAAAGCACTTTGGATGTTGGTTAGTGTTGATGTGGGTAACTGAATCTATTGTTTCGTTGCTGTAGCGGTACATCGTTAACTGGTTAGATTACGAGCAGCATTATCGTTATTTTACTGGTATTGTTATTGTTATTGCTGTTGTGATTACAATCTGATGCCTCTTTCGCTCCCATTTGCCATACATATGGATACACAAATAAACAAAAGACAGCCAGCCCAACGGTGTCCGGGTTCTTGGCCAGGATTGCCCTCGATATGGGCAGCGCACCTGGCCTCGAACTGGACCTCGAAGGTAGCAAATGAAAAGCAGGCGATACAATGAGCACAACTTAATGCCGGATCAATGAGCTACGATTACGATTACGATATAAGATATACGATATACGATATACGATATACGATATACGATTACGATATACAGGGTGCATGATAATAGGTTAAGAATGGAAACAAAAGCCTCTGCAAGGAAATGATAATCGATAATGACATGGACTTAGACTACATAAGGATATGAATACTGGTTTACAGATCGGGCAACTTCAGCTGGCAGGGATATAGGGTATACTATATAGTCAACCGATCTCTTGCCAAGTAAAGCCACCGATCCAGTCGCAGACATACACACACATTCAGATGCAGAGACATAGCTTTTAGATGGTTCAGATAAGCTAGAGAGGATATGTCAGGCAGGCAGTCAGAGGGAGACAGAGAAGGGAAGTTCAGTGCGAGACAGAGACAGAGACAGAGTGATGCGTAGAGACAGTGAGTGAGAGAGATAGGTAGAGACAGAGGATGTTGGGCTGGGGGAGATTGGAGATGAGTGCGTCACACGGAGGATGACTGACCTGGAAGCGGGCCGTCATCCGCTGCTTGAACGATTGGGCTGCCTTGGGGTCGGCTAGGCGCATGTCCTGGTACTTCTCCTCCAGATCGGACCAGTCCTTCATGACGCGCGTGACCTTCTCGCGATGCGATTCCTCAAGGCGCTGTTGGGCTTCCTTTGTTTAGAATACGTTTTGTGTTGCATCGATAAATAAACCTGCGCCCTCAACGTAAACACTTACTTTCTGACTTACTTTGTAGCTCTGGTGCTCGTAGTGCGGATCGAAGTGGGTGAAGTACGGGTCCGAGGTGGGCTGGGCGGTGGATGGTGGTGCTCCAGCTCCCGAGTTTCCAGAATTGGCAGCTGCTGCAGCGGCGGCGGCGGCGGCGGCGGCGGCAGAAAGCTGAGGAGTGCTCGTGACCAAGTCGGACTTAAGGGGCGTCTTCTCGGAGGCTGGTGCAACCGAGACGGTGGACGGGGACGAGGCACCGCCCTTCGTGGCCACCACCTTGGCTCCACCGCTCTGATCCCAGGAGGCCTCGCCTTCCGTCTCGGCCTCGGAGCCAGCTCCGTCCTCCTCGTAGTTGTCACCCTCCTCCCCGCTATCGTACTCTGCGTTTATGTCATCCAAAGATCCGCTATTGGCATCGCCGGAGGATCCGGTGCTGGGACTTCCGCCTGCAGCAGCTGCCTCATCCGCCACCATCTCGTCCTCCTCATCGTCGCCCATCAGATCGTCCTCGTCGTCCAGCTCGTCCTCGTTGGCATCCTTCGAGTAGTTCGAGTCATTGCTGTCGTCTTCGTCGTTGACCACTAGTTCGTCGTTGGTGCTGGTTATCTGGGCTGGTGGCATCACCGGCAGGTCGGTCTTTTTCACGTGGATTTCATCGGCTGAGGAGTGGAGTGGATGGAGTGTTTATCATGAATAGAAGTTAGAGTTAGGCTTGCTAAATGGTGTCTAATTGCCGGAACGAGGAGCCCAATTTAAACAAACTTCGCAATGAAATTGCTGAATAAATAAATCCCCAACTGGCTCGCTTAATGTCCAATGACAGAGTGAGTAATGACACATCTGTTTGTTCTGTGCATTTGATTTGTATTTTAAATAATTAATGTCATAACCACAGGGTGAAGGTGACTAATGGCTGTGCCGGACAGAGGGAAAACCATGTCACAGAAATGGAAAACTAAAAGAGAATTTCCACTGGTTATCACATTTCTCTGTTTCCCTGAATAACTATGCAGTCTCGAAGAGGACAATTATGGATTTGAATTTCAAAAACGGGCGAGGTCAGTACTCACTCTTGAAGTGCTTGGGACAGCAGACGAACTCCACGCCGGAGAAGACCGAAATGCCGCAGGGCAGGAGCATGGCAAAGCTGCGCATCTGCATGCCGCGCTCCTGGCAGGCGGCTGCTCCGGTTTGGTTCCACCTCACGAATGGCCAGCAGCGGGAGGCGTTGTGGATATGGTCGAAGAGGCAGCCCTCGGGTACCAGCAGGGCGTCCGATTGGAATGGTCCTTCTGAAGCCAAACGTCGTCGAGTGATGGTTGGTGTGGTGGATGGTTAGAAGGGTCAAAGGAGAGCGGATCAGTTGGTTGGTCCTCGGATATGGGATCATCATCCTCATCTTATTCCAAGTATACTCACCGAGACAACGGAATGGCTTGATCCACCGGTGGGAGCCCTTGCACTTGGCCGCATTCAGAGCACCCTGGCGACACCAGCCGCCGATCTTCTGGTAGTGCGATGACTCCACAATGTTGGTTATATCTCGGTTCGGGTAGGCCTGGAATTCAAAACCAGGAGTTAAAGTGACTGATTTAAGTATCCGTTAGGGTTATGTAACAGACAGTTTTATTTAGTTCCTGCCACCCAGTTAGTGAGAAAGATTTTAAATTCCGGCTGCCGCTCGATTCATTATTAATCAAGTTCTCATTGGGGGCGATTCTCGGGAATTTCATTTATCTGAAAGGATTCACCTCCAGCCCCCTGCGAGCCGATACCCTTTTGAACTCGGCTCCTGTTTGCCATCCCATTTGATGTGTTTATTTCCCTCTTTTTGCTGCCGCTCGCCGGTTGTTCTTGTTGCCTTTGGCTTCCGACAATGGGCAGTGAAACTTTAATTGCCTGCCCGGTTTGATTGACTGACTAAATGACTGACTAACTGAATGGCCTAATAAAATATCCCCACATGTGTCTGTGTGGGTGCACGTGCACCCATCTCTGTGTGCGGCTGCAGTGGGTGCGGGTGTGTGTGTGTGTTTGAGTGTGTAAGTGTGTTAGTGTACGAGTGTGTGTGTGCACTACATTTGTTTCAAACAATTATGTGCCGAGTGGCACACACTCCTCTGGATGCCCCATTCCCATTCCCATTCCCCTTCCCTTTCCCATCTTCATCCTTGCCATCGCCATCGTCATCCTGCCACACACACACACACTCACATACTCACACAAACACACATACACACAACAGCTCATGAAAATGAGGCCTTTTTAAATGTTGTTTGAGTGCTTGGTTGCAAATGGCTGCCTCCCTGGGTGGGACAGAGAACGGTGATTGGTAGGGAAGGAGGGAAGGATGGAGGGGAGGAGAAGAAAAGCTTGGCAAGAAACGAGTGCAAACGGCACGTAGGCAACGCTCGCAGGCGGTCAGACAGCACCCACACATAAACACATACAACCCCGTCGCTCTGCCCACTTGCCCAACTGCCACCCCTTTCCGGCCCACACTGCGTATGGCTGTCGGCAACCAGGCTAAATAAAACATTAAAAGCACAAAATAATGATGCTGATGCATGTCAAGTCAAACTGAAAACCGAAACCCCAAAGGCCCTCCCCGGAACCCCTCGATTCTCCACCGGACTGCCCGGACTGCTGGCTGGACTGCTCGACTGCTCGACTGCCGGACTTCCCGGACAAACAGAAAATAAACCAAGTCCTGGCCATAAGACCTTGTGCTGTGGTCATTCCATATGCTGCCAGTGTATAAGCCCATAATGACACAGAGGACGGACTCTGGGCTGTATTGACAGTATAGCAACTATATAACCGATGGGAGTTCTACTCGAGGAAATCGAAGAGTGCCGAAAGAGATAATTGAAAGGCTCATCGTGATCATGAAAACGGAATGCATCTTAATTAAGAGCCGTCCAGTGTGTTAAGGAAATAAACATCCTTTGTTGTGAGAACTTAAGAAGATCCGGGCAGACCTTGAGGAGGCTTAAAATAACTGATTCCTTTTACTTGATCTTATAGGAACTTAAGCAGCAGCTAATCAGCTATCAAGGTATATACCCTGGAAAGACAGAGCCACCCGGGGCGATCCACTGTGCCCCAGGCTATGTTTTCGTTTCGGTTCGGGAGTTGCGTGCGTGCCAGCGACTCGATATAAACCATAGCAACTCCAAGGACCTGCCCGCACAGACCCACAACATTCCAGCACTTTAAAAATAAAGGAACGCACATTGTTGGAGGGACATGGGATTGGGCATGGGACTGGGCATGGGACTGGGGACCTCTGACGACGTCATGTCATTCACACGGCCCAGTGCCTGACCAGAGCGGTCGATGGAGTATATAAACGTGCCCCGGGCTTACGGATACACACACCCTACGCCCACCCAACACACCACCACCCAGGAGCCAGTCTGTGGAAAGTGAGACTCACTTTCGCAGGACCCGCCATGCCGCCCGTCGTCCTGGCTGAAATGTGTTCGTTATACTTGGCTTAATCAAAACATATTCAGCCGAGCGTGAGGCTGTTTAAGTGGCTCGCTTGAGAGAGTTTGCCGCAAATAAGCGCGGCGCAAGTTATTGTAACAGCATTTGAATCTTTTGTTTTGGCAAATCCACCTCCCTCCAAGCCCCCACCGCACACACAGCGGCACACACACACAGGCAGGCAAATTTAATTGTATAAAATTAGCAGAGAGCAAAAAATCCATGCATCGCTGCACCGCTTCAGTGGGCGAGTGTATGTGTGTGTGTTGCTAATGACAGACAAACAATTAAACTTGACATTTCGCCATTGTTCCGTTCTGTTTCGCACACACACACACACACACACACACACTGGAGCTCGCACACGCATGGGATTACAGGACAGGACGCCATTGTTGCTGTCCACACGCTTCACGAATATCCTTGAGCAATGCAATTAGACGGGTCTCGATACGCGGACACTAATGGCAGCGGCGAATGTCGTTTGCCTATATCGTTATCGTTGTTGTTATCGCTACGCTGTAGTCGTCCTTCGGATTTATTCCCGCTTCGCTGGATTCTTTCTTTCTGCTTCCTCTTTGCGTGTATGGAAAAAACTATTGCATACCTCTGGGCGGACTACTCACTGCACTTACAAATAATCCTTTCAAAAGTAATGTGAGCCTCTATTTAGTAGACTTGTTTCGTGGTTACGTTAAGCATTCGCCATGGCCAGCCAAGAACTACTTATCTGCTTACGGAAATTATCCATTCAGAGATACATTTCCCTAGCGAGGTAATGACTGCGGAAAGTTAACTGAAATACTGAGCGATTTCTGAAACGTTGACTGCCTTTCAATGGGCTTACCGTATAATAATATTACAATTAAACTGTTTTACTAACTGCATAAACTGTTTGCCCAAACTGCTGTAAAAAGTGTTTAAATTGTATTGTAATTGGATTGGCTTATTGGGCAAATTGTTGGCCGCTAATGGGCTGTGAAAAAAGTTGTTCGCTTTGTTAATAGTTGAAACAAATGGTTACGCGGCGCAGGCCGATTGGCCATATATGCATTGGATTTCTCCACCATTTCCATTGATTTATTGGCTTGGCTTTGGCGAAAATCCCGTTGCCCGGAGACATTTGCTTTATTTATGGTAAATCCACATAAACAGCTTGTAAAACTTGAATGCCCTGCTTTCTGTTATAATGGTGGCTTTATACAAACGCCCGATTTTTCAGTTTTAGCACAAGTTGCTCTTGTTCTTGATCGGCTTCAAGGTGAAGTACGAGTAGGGGCAGAGGCAGGGCAGGGGCAGAAGCAGGACCAAGCCAAGACCAAGCCAAACAAATCCAGTTAAACGAAGGAAGTCGGCGTGGCAAGTGAGTGTTTGACAGCGCCTAACATCCGCATAAAACATCTGTATCCGGAGGCGGAAACTGGGTACCAAAGGGGGGCGTGGCCAGGTCCCCGGTGTGCCCTGTCTGTCAATGCATGCAAAATGCAAACAATTGAGTTGCCAACAGAGCGGAGGAGGGAACACGGCCAGCACACCTGGCAGAGTGGAGCGCGTTATTGAAAATGATTTTTTAATGTAGCACTGACATGGTGTTCCATGCTCCTTCAACCAACTCGGTTTTCTTTCTTCTTCGTCCTTTTTTGTGTTGTTACCTTTTTTCCCCCGTTGGCAAATCCCTTCTTGGCTGCGACGGTGCGTGCCGTGGCAAATCATTTTGTGGCAACTTTCTATTTGCATTTTTTCGCATCCTTGCCTTGTTTGCCTTGCTCGCCTTGTTTTCATTTTAGTTTTGCCACACCTCTGCATTCTAGCGCCCAGTCCAGCGATGTACCACGCTGCGTATACGTAACCTGAAGCCTGGTCACGCGGCATGCACGTACTTTTATTTCTCTCTAGCTTAGCGTTTACGTATTTTTAGTTAACTTCAAACCCAGCCATTCAATGACGGAACCCCAGCACTCGACCTTCGCCCAACATGTTGACATTGAAATTGTAAAAATAATTTCCCATACGCCCCGTTGTACGGCAGAGAAACTGAAACTGAAACAGAAACAGAAACAGAAACAGCAACATCAACAGAAACACAAACACTAACGGGGGCATTAGGGCCAAAAAGGCCAAGCGCTGTGTTATTGTTGCCCCGACTGGTCCTGCGGCTTTTCCGTTTTCCCTGGCTTTGTTCTCGCCCCCGCTTTCCTCAAACTTCTGTGTCGCCGCCGAGTCCTTTCAGTCAAATGGCCAGAAAGCAAACACAATTCAAGGTGCCGTCCGAGTGCTGGGTGTATATATAGTATATATGCTATATATATATACGGTATATATGGCATTCAGTGGGCTTGCTCTGCGTGTCCACATGTGTGTTTAAAGTCCGGACCTGACAATGACGACCCAACCGGAGGCTCCTGTTCCTATTTCCTATTTGGGGGTCATCCCCATTATGGGCTAAGCTGATACGCACCGCACTGGACGGTAATGCCGTGTAATTACGGCTGCTCTATGGCAACCACTGTTGTACACAGTGGCTCGATTGCTCAATCGCATTGAGTTAGCCTGTCTGCGCTGCTCATTTGATTATGGATCAACTTAACCTGCACGGTCCTGTTCAGGGACATCCGATTGCTGGCCCCCTCCCGTAACCATAATCGGTTACGATGGTGAATAAACTCATTTGCTGCTGCTCCTCCAGTCGAGAGTCTATTCAGGCATGCCTCTACCAATCGTACAGATGCCAGGAACAATGCCCCGAGGAGCCAGGAAAGCTACTCCCATTAGCTGCTATTTCAACTTCGCTGGAACGGCAGTTCATCTGCGGTGCTGCCTAAACTATAAGTTGTTGTAAGAAAAGTCCACTTGAGGATGTTAATAGACAAGGATTTTCCGAAAACTGTGCTGCTTCAAACTAGCAATTAAAAGGGATTATGGCTGGAAAGTACATCAACTACGATATTCTATTTCCATGAATTCTCTGATTTTTGTTTGCTAAGAAGCAGTATTTTGTCCATAACGAAGCCGAAAGTGGTCCGTATGTGGAATGTAATACCTCGTAGGGCTCGTAATTTGATTCTT